AGCCCCAACCACCCCAACAAAGTCGTTGGAGCCACGACCCAATCCCGCAGGAATACCAACGCCATTCGGCGCCACGCCTCCCGAAAGATCGACAACCTCCGGCCCAATAAGGTGACTTGAGAAATTGGCAAAACTTTTACGGGCCCAGTCGCCCAACCCACGTGGTAGACGCGAGAAGACTGACATCGGCCTCAAAAGGGAGAGAGCCACGCAGCGAAAGGGTGGCCGCTGTGGGGAGCCAGGCTGCCCGCTGGAGAAGGCCAATCAGCGCTCAAAGTTTATAGGGCATAAAAAGGGGTAAAAAAAGGGAAAGTCGAGAGAGTAAAGAAGTTATTTTTGTCCATACATATATTCCTTGCAAAAACAAACAGCGAATTTACACATATCCTACAAGATTTGTAAAATATTACATTCTTACGTTTCAGCCAATTTTAATTGCAGCCATACCAATATTGTGTCATTTAATTATATATCTACTTAAGCCTAGTTTTCAAAAAATAAAAAACAGCCCTCCTTAAATTTTGCCCCATAATTTAATTAAATGTCTACCTAATGTCAGTTTCCAAAAATAAAAATGGCTCCCCTTAAATTTTGCCTTATAATCATTTCAGATGATGACAAAAAAATGCTTGTTGTATATGGTAATTGACTGAAATATTTGGTTTAATTTTTATTCGTAAAAAATGCAGCTATAACGAACTATATGTTGTGTTTATAGTCGACAAAATATTTCAGCTCTCAGGTGTTTTGAAAGTGCAACATATATTGTGTTCATAGTCTGTACATATTCAATATATGTTGCAGTTTTTACTTACATAACATGTTTATACAACCACAATTGTGATGTTTGAATTTTGGTTCAGTATATATAACTTGATAAGTTTTTTTTTTTTATTTATTTATTTATTTTTTTNGCATTTTTATCAAACCACAATTGTGATGTTTGAATTTTGGTTCAGTGTATTGCATTTATAGTCGATATATATTCACTATACGTTGTGTTTTTTATTTCCATGGCATTTTTATCTTACCGCAATTGTGATGTTTGAATTTTTGCTCAGTATATAACATGTCGTATATGATGTGCTCCTGCACTTGAACCGGCTTCCCTCCGCTCCTCAACCGCTTCAAGACCTGAAAAGACGCCGGGAGGGGTTCCCGGCGATAAACCTCCAAAGCTAAAGTCAATCAAGGAAAGAGGAAAACTAGTTACAGTATGAAGAGATTTAGGGTTTGTAGATTGATCCCATTTACTTGCTGCCCCATTTACATATTTATATGGAGTTATTTAGCTTCCTTAATACGCTTTGTTCTTCCTCCGTCGGTTCATTTGTTCCACTTTGATATTGACCTTACATGTGTCCTTTGTGGACCGCCTTTTATAACCACCTCCACATGTCAGTCCTCGCTTTGTAGAGTATCACCACCAATTGACTTTTCCTTAAAAGACCCTTCTGATACACTGCACAATGGCAGTATGATGTACCAATTCCTTTGGAGGTAGATCACTTTAAGCAACCTCAACATCCTCCGGCCTTGGTCCTGGCCCTGGCGCCGGCTCCATGATTAAGATTAAGCACGGCGGCGTTGGCGAACGCCGGCGCCGACTTCTCTAGATACGACGTCATTCGAATAAATTGAAAAATTACAGATATACGAGAGAGAAGAGAAGAAGAAGAAGAAAAAGAAAAAGAAATCCCCATTAAGGGGAAATCGGTTTTGGCCAATAACTGCAAAATCTCATTAAATCCGTCACTTCCTCAATTAAATATAATTACTAGTACAACACCCATGCATTACATGGGTGGGGACGGTGCCTCATCCCGGACCGTTCATGGATGGATTCATAAAAGTGGGATGGGTATCCGGACAAGTCAAATCCAAGACCGTCCCGACCGGCGCCCACTCCTACCATTAATAATTAACATATTATAGATAATCCGAACCTAAATATATTTGGATTAGAAGTAAACTAAATCTACCCAAGCCTAATAACGAAGCATGTATTTTTGCCACATAGGATCCCGAAGCATGCGAGTCTGCCACATAGGCTCAGCACGTTCTCAATTAATATATAAGGGATATCTAAAAGAAAATTTTAGTATTTATGCAAATAAATTACTTAATTTTAGTTATTTTTCTAATAAATATACATAGTGTGTAAATATATAATAAAAAGTATCTTGCGTAGTGATACTTTGCTCAAAACAAAACAAAGGGGTTTCAAACTTCCAGCTCAATTTCAATCTAATTGGGCTTCTTTGAGAGCAGTTCATTGTAAACGGCCTGCAGGCCATCAACATATACCACAATAAGTTAACTAATTTATTTATGGGAAAAAAGGTAAAATTTAAAAAATGGCCCATGCAGGTCTCGAACCTGCGACCTTCGCGTTATTAGCACGACGCTCTAACCAGCTGAGCTAATAGGCCAGATGCAAATGTCGAAAATTAAGAACTTATTAATAAGTTAACTGTGATTGTTTATCAATTCATCTAGAAATTAATTGGTTTTTTTTAACTATAGTTACTTTTAAAAAAAGTTAGTATGGTTAGTTGTTAGTGGATAAATTAAAATAATATTTAAAATAAAATAATTAAAGTTGATATGATGTAAAAGTAAGAGAAAATGATTGGAAGTAGTGGTTAGTTAAAATTATGTGAGTGGATGAATAGTGAATTAAAATTGATGTAATGTGTAAGAATGATTGGTTGGTATTAATTAATTATATTGGTAATAATGGAGATAGTGGAGTTGAGTTAAAGTTGAGTTAAATTTGAGTTTTAATTGGTTTTTTTTGAATTGAGTTTTAATTAGAACTCAAAAATTTTCCACGGCCATCCACCATGTTTGAGATTGAATGTGATAATTGATCCGAACTACAGGCCTAAGGTTCAATGGCCACCTAATTTTTTAAAAAATACTTTATTACAAAAATATTCGAGAAAATTATAAATAACACATCCATCAAGAATTAAGATACAACATTTCTTTTGTTTGAGATATTCATGAATCTTCTTTTTCTAAGTAAATTATCCAAAATCTAATTTAGAATTTGTTTGTACAAGATGGTTTAATTTAAGAAGTTTTCTTAGCATGCTTATGTGAAATGCCAGTTATGAAATTTTTTACTATCTGCCAAATATAAATAAATCTAGTTTCAAGTTTTCTTTTTGTTTAAACTTGGTTATTATCTTCATTGTTTTAAATTAAAAATTAATGCTACTTATTATTTAATCAAAAAAATGAAATTTACAATAAAAAATGTGCAAAAGCATATATGGGAATGGGAGATAAAAAATAAATATTAAATGCATATTAGTGTATTCCTAATTTGACATAAAGAAAAAGGTCAAAAAATAAAGGGTTTTTTAGGTAAATATTAATTATTAATAAAAAAATATATGAGATGGATATTAGTGTATTACTAATTTGCTATTAAAAATATGTCAAAGCGAAGTGTTTTAGATAGCTCATATTTTTACAGAAATAATCGTTCTTTCATAGTAACCATTAAATATGATTACGATTTTATCATTAAAAGTACATTAAAAATAACGACTTTTTTAAAAAAGCAATTCTATCCCAATGCTTTAGTTCTGTCCTAGTTAATCCTAGTTCGACATTGTTAGAAGTATATTGATTATCATTTCAACGTTTTGTTGTTTGGGTTAATAGTGTTGATTTTTTGGAGATATGGAATAAAGAAGTTTGAGATATATGGGGAAGATCTAGAAAACAAATTCTTGAAGAATAATAGTGTGAAATATTATGATTGATTTTTAAGAGATGTGAAATATTTTGTTCGTGTAATTGTATTTAATTAATTAAATATTAAATGAGTATTAGTCTTATCAATGCTTATAGTGGTGTAATTCAAGTCATGGTGTGTCGTATAACTTAATATCGAATATACTTTCTTGTGATCTATTATTAGATGAATATATATATGAGTAAAATAGCGTACTTAGATTTGTTCAAATACAATTGTGTAATATGTGATAGTATCACTATAACATTATTCAAAACATGTGCATGTATGGTCAAGAAATTAACTACATGAATCATCAATTGTTTTTGAATATATGTAGACTTGAAACATCAATTGTTTTTGAAATATATTCCTATTTGAAACATTTTCAAAAATATTATATGTAGACTTGAAAAAGAACAAAAACCATTCACATTTCAAAAATATATCATTGTTTTTTAATCATCAATTGTATTTTTGAACTATTAGTTGAGTAGATGAGTATATCATTATTAGTATTCTTATTGTTTTAACTTTTATGTAAAATGATAAGCTGGAATCTAAAAATTCGCATAACCTAAATATAAAAGTCAATGGAATGTAATAGCAAAATCATTAATGCAATCCAACCAAAAAAATGAGCAGATAAGGAACATAATTCAGAAGTTAACAATAAAAGTAATGATCATATAACAATTAACACCAAGAATTCTTAAAAGTTGTATTGTGTCTAAGTTGGTAAAATATTGTAATTGACAAAATTAATGGTTTGCATGCGTTTCTATCTAACTTGGTAAATAATGTAACTAGTTTTATTCAAATATTTCTTTTTTATTTCGTGAATTTTTTCAAATTATTGTTAAGATTATAAATGCAAGGTGTCTTCAGTTTTTTTTTTTATATTTCATATTATAGCAATACTAGAAAAAAATTATAAGACCTTTATTTAATTATTATTTTTTTCTAATTTTTTTCTTTGTTTGTCCTTGATTTGATGCATGTATTTCTTGAAATTACTTCACTAACCATTTTGTATTAGTAGGATCATTTATGCATTTTTTTCTTGTTATAGATAAAACAATTTATTCTAACAACACTATTAAATTATCACAGATTTTCTTAATCTTCTCACACAAATTCACCTAACATAAATATCCTCTTCATTTCACCTTACAAACAAACATTTCAAAACCTTGTGTTATCAATTTGAATTACACAAAAGCTTTCAAGTGTTCTCAAATTCACAAAGATGAGCAGCACCTCAAAAGAAGTAATGCAAAAGGTACATAACATGTGCATTTCTTGTTTAACCATTCATGAGATAGCTAGGTATCACATTTAGATACCCTACTTTAAAAAAAATAAACAAACAAACAAACAAATACGAATATTATTGCTATTTCTCGAGTAAGTTCCTTAAGTTTATGCTATTGATAGAAGCATTTGATTTCTAATTTTCTTCTATAACTTTCGATATATCATTTGTTACACTGCGTAGATCTCGTATTTAAAAATAAATATTTTGACGTTATTGCGCATACTATATTATTTTGTTATATTCGTAAATGTCGTACTTCTTAATAAATGTTATGGTATTGTCGCTCGTGCTATATTTTACTACACTCGTAAATGTCGTACTTCTTCGATTGTCTTTATATATATATACTTGGATACACTCGTAGATCTATCGTAATTCACAATAAATTTTACAATGTCATCTCTCGGGTATATTTTATATAAATGCTAGTCATAAATGTTACGATGTTAAAGCTAGGCTATATAACTTATTTATTTTACAATTGAAACTTTTGAAATGCTTTGTTTATTTTAAACCTTCTCTTTGTAGGTCGATAGCATCATCCAAAGCCGCAGCTTCCCAAACTGGGTAGACAACTTCTTGGAGAAGACATTTTTCGAAAAATGTCTTAGCCACGACTTGCAGAAAAACGAACACAATAGGTATTGTATAAATTGCGACACACCAATTTGCAGGTATTGTATCTCATATGGCAGCCACAAGAGCCACGAGATACTCACCATTTACAGACATGTCTATCAAAATGTTGTCCCATTGAGTGAGATGGAAACTCACATGGATTGCCAAACAATACAGGTATATATATTAGTTTTATTTATATTTAATTAATTTGTTAGGAAATATTTGTCCATTTAGAGATTATTATTATTATTTTTTTCTTATGAATTATTAAAAAGTAAGTCATGGATATATAATTACCGGTTAAAAATGTTTTGATTTAAATGTAGCCTTATAAATGTAACAAGAAGTGGGTAGTGTCTTTGACCCCTCTCCCACATAATGGGTCTGGCTCGCTCATTGAAGGCGATGGAGCTTGCAATGTGTGCAAGAGAAAGCTCACTGATTCGGATCGCTTTCGATTCTGCTCTATTTCGTGCAAGGTATACAACACTGAGTTGTCCAATATTGCACGAGATATTGAAAAATATGTGATGATACCACATAATATGTTGATCAGAATCATTTTCTTTATATTTCTTTCACTAAAATTTATTATTATGTTACATGATCCTCTGTTTTTGTTAAATCGTACAACTGGCGTGATAACAAGAAAAAATTGTAATTAGCTAGCTCGGCAAGAATAATATTAAATTCAAGCAAATTTCATCGAAACTACTTTCCGTCATGTATCACACACAATAGATCATAATTCATGCAGATTTCATCAAAACTAACTATATATGTTTGTACGTATTTATACATGATTTTTCCCAGGTTCAGGCAATTTCAGGTGTCCTTGGAGTCGGGACTTCACAAGCAGAGAACCCATCCAAGCGCAAGAGGAGCCGTAAAGGCGTGCCTCATAGGGCGCCTTTTTTCTAAAAGACCATTTATCAGTAGGATAATTTATTGGTTGTTTAGTTTTATGGATTGAAAACATTGGTTTAATTATGAACTTGTTTGAAGTTTTTTGTGATTGTGAGTGATTCGTGTGCCTGCAATTCCAAGTGTGTGTGTGTGTGTGTGATTTTAGGCTTTTTGGTGCTAAAGATTTCTTTTACATAGTATACAAGAGGAAGATCCATAACCCATTTACATTGGTTCAATTTGCTATTGACAAATGTAACAATTTATGAATGGGTAGTTCTGGTCTTAACTGTTAGACGGGTAGTAATTTCATAGTATATTGAAGTTTTAGAATTAATTTGATAAGTCGCGAGGACGTAGACGGAACCGTGAATTGAAATTTCCTCTTAATTTATTTAATTTTATTTTTATTTTTATTGTTTAGATTTTATTTGCTTCGTTAGGATTTTAGTTAGTTTGGGATTCATGGACAATGCCCTTCCTAAAACAAATTAGATGATTCCTTGTGAATTTTGACGGTCAGTGGACATAATTAATATATCAATTAACATTATTACTTTTGATTCTATGATGTAGACAGCCATTGCTTGTAAGAAATTATTTTATGGCTTTGTATGAAGTTTTCATTTTAGTGGACATGGAAATAAATTCCATCTCAGATGACCTTCAACTTACAGGTGAAGCAAATAGAAGAACGGTAGACATAATTAGTATTATGGCTTTATATGAAGTTTTCCCAATCCCTTCTTATTTTCTTATTCAATTCTTTATTCTTTTCTTTTCTTTTTTTTTTCATTGCAATCCCTACCAAAACTCTCTTTCATACTTGTACATATACTAATACTATTATCATTCATTTATTTTATTTGAAAAGCATAAAAATTTTAAAAAAATATTTCTCATTTTCTCTCTTCTGCAGACACGATCATCCCCCTCCCTAAAGCCACCGTCTAATGCCGAATTCAAAAAACCTCCGTGAACTCGACCCTCGACCTCCACAGTCCAGCACCAGCAATCATCTCCGATCAAACCACTGTCGGCCCGTCAAACACCAATCGCAGACTCCAAAAGAAAAATCTCCATCCGACTTTCCGTCCTCTACTTCTAAGACAACAAATAAGGTAAGTCTTAGAATTCGAATACTAGGGTTGTTTTTTTCAAAATTTTGATTTTGTTCTTGAATTCAAATTTTTTTAGAATTTGGGATTTTTTTTAGAATTTAGGATTTGGTTATCTATTTAATGTTATTAAACTTCGAATTTGACTTATATTTCACCAATTATGAATTTTATGGATAAATTAGGGCTCTTTGCATGCTTTAAGGTTCATCATTTTCGATTTGTGCATCTTTTTAAATTAGGGCACTTCATAAATTTCATCATTTTAGGAACATATGNAAAAAAAAAAAAATGGGTTGAGGAGATAAGATTGGTTGTATTGAAATGGAACATATAGTGGTATGTTGAAATGGGCTGAGGAATTCAGTTTGGAACTGAGTGGCACATATGGTTTTGCATGATCTATGTGGTTTAGCTTAAGTTTGTGGTTTTTGTTGGGAAAAACTATGTTGTGTTCTTGTATCTTGCTATTTGTATAGGTTTTGTTAGTTTGTTCTTTGGGTAGTTGGTTGTGTATAAATTGTTTAGCCTTTTCTTTTGTTTAGTTGGTTGTTTTTGTTATTTTCTCGGGTGTGATATGTGTTAATCTTTGGCAGCTTATTTATGTTTGAAAATTTGCTTTGTTTATATTTTTTGTGAAAAAAATACTATAAGTACATAATAAATGTACATAGATGTGTACATAACGCTCACATTGAGTGGAATTTATTTGATTTTTTATTTTTGGTAGGATCCACTTAATGTGAGTGTTATGTACACCTCTATGTACAATATTATGTACCTATAGGATTTCACTTTTTTGTGAGACAATTGCTATAAGTACATAATGTTAGACATGGGGGTTTACATAATATTAACATTGAGTGAGACGTACAAAAATAAAAAGTTAGTGTACCCCACTCAATATGAGTGTTATATACACCTATATGTACATTTATTATATACTTGTAGCATTTTCCTTTTTGTGATATGGGAATGAACTTAGATCAAGATGTGTCCCTTCATATTTTAAAGATATTATGGACATGCTTGTTCTTTATGTGACCCACATAAACAACCTCTTCAAAAGAACCCGTTTTATTTTTTTTTAATATGCCTGATTTATCGATTACCCATACAAAAGTCGAGGCATTGACAAGTACATATAAGACAGACAAAATTGCCTTTGTTGAAGACAATTTGTTTCTTAATTTTGATCCCGTTGAGTTTTGTATCACTATAGAGTTGATACGAAGTGGTCTAAGTGTAGATTTAAATCTTAGTTTGATGGTTGGGGTCGAGTAAACAAGAGGCTTTTGAAAAAAAAGCATATTGTTGATTTGATATAAAAATTTGCTATGAATGAAGCTCGATGACTCCATCTGGATGTTCAGCCTTCTTGTATTTAGTTGTATTTTATTTTCATGTTCGAGTTACTCTATTCCAAAGTCTCTTCTTGTATTTAGTTGTATTTTATTTCCATGTTCAAGTTACTCTATTCCAAGGTCTCGTTACCTTTAAAATATGTAATTCAAATTTCTAAGTATGCATGGGATATGTTACTCATAAATTCTTGGTTGGGGAGTTAGTTCGCCATACAAAGTTGTTCAGTGGAACTGATGGTATGTATAGATTTGTTTCAATGGCTTAATACAATAATATTAAATTGTGAAACTGTGTAATTCTAAAATTTTGTGTAAGTGGAACTTATGGTATGTATATTCAATGTCTTAATACAATAATATTAAAATGTGAAATTGTGTAATTCTAAATTGTGTATTTGTAAGCTTTATTGTACAAGCATGTCCCATCCATCAAAATAGGAGTGTCGATCTCTTCCCCCCCAAAAAAAATGACGCGCTCGTACACTAAGCTCGTAAGAGCATCTTTATCAACAAAACCTCATAAACCCCCTTTTACATTTCTCAATATGCCACATCATCCAAAACCTCATTCTTACTCCTATACTCATAAACCTCAAATAACAATAAATCCCATAAACCTCTTTTTATGGGTCCCACATGTTTCCCACTTACTTTTAATTTAATATTACATTCTTATATTTTTATATAAATTATTAT